TCGGTTATTTTTAGTTAGTGTAGTTAGTAGCGAGCCGCTTTAGAGCAAGCATTCCTTTTTGGCTTGCGTTTGAATATTGAACGTTCGGTATTTTCTTTTGTAAACCGTTCGTTCTTATTATTTTTGTAGCGCTCGTAGTTTATGTATGTAAATGTAAGGCCGTTCGGCCAAATTTGAACCTTGTTCTCTGTAACAGTAAAACTACTTTATCATATTAATACATGTTAATATTCTATTATATAGTTGCTGACTGTATAATTTTGGGATGTTACACCTTATCTTTATAAACTTCTGTTACAACAATATGTTATGTTCCATTGTTTGATAAAACAATACTCATAAAAATTTAAGTTATCAATAAATAATTCTTCTAAGAAAAGTAATTAAATGACATTGAAGCATAATTTCTATAATCAACTTTGACCATATGTAAATTACTATTTAATTATTAATATAAAAAAGATTTTAACTTTTGTTATTTTAGACTTTTGACATCCGTCAAAGGTTCAATGTCATAGTAAAAAAACGTCAAATTAATTGACGTATGTTGCAGGAAAAATCGAAGTTAATTGATGTTTGTTGTAGGAACAATGGACCTTAATTAATCTATATTGCATGAACAACAAATGTCTTGCTTTTTTTTAAAAAAAGAATTGCCAATATTTTCTTTCATGGAAACCATGGAAAATAAACCTATAATACAAAAATACACCACAAAAATTTTCAGAATTTTAGAAGTAGTATTGGTATCTAAAATAAAAGTGCAATAACCCGTATACATAAAAAAACCAAAATGAAACCAATCGTGATAGTGAGGGAGTAGACAGGCGCCACTGTGAGGGTGAGGAGAAGATAATTATCGTCAGTGAGGGTGAAAAGAGAACTCAATGGTGCTCCAAATGGAGTTTATGCATGAAACCAATCGATTAAAATGAAAGAAAATCATACATAAAGTCATCATATTTGTGTTAAGTGGAAGGAACATTACCTTTGGTGGTCACTAAAAGCTTCGTTGGAGACGTTTGACTTGCAATGAAGAAATAGCACATAAAAACAATGAAACAAATATTCTTTCTCGAACTGTTTTTTTCATGATTAAAGGGTATATAGACGTCAAATGCACTTATATATACAAGATACAAAAAACGGATGCACTTAATCGATTTAAGTTAATTCCTTAATTGATTCGGTCCAACTCTCTGTTTTAATCGATTATGTTAATTCCTTAATCGATTAAAATAGACACTACAACCCTATTTTGTTTCTAACACACACACACTTTAACTGATCGTGGACTTTGCTTAATCAATTAATACAACCAGATTTATGCATTCTTGCTATTATATGCACCTAAGACTCTTTCATACATAAATTATGCATCTGAGACTCTTTGTCCTACATGAGTTTAATTTTATTCTAACAATTTAAGCACTTAAGAAAAAAAACATTTTACACAATTCATCATCAAAAATAATTTTACCATACTTAAGAAGACTTTCCCTCTCAAGAAATTAAAATTTGAAATTTGTCCATTTTGAAAAATTCATATATAATTATTATTAAATTTATATAAAATATATTAAAAGAATAATTATATTTTAAATTTTTATTAGATATAATTAGTTGGATTAAAAAAATATAATTATTAATCCAAAAGGATAAACTAATTTATATTCTACAGGATTAAGTATGTTTTTAGTTCTTTAACTTACATGTGAAATTGGAATTTGCCATCTCTCAAAATTAAATATATTTTGGTTGCCATATTTAAAAGAGAAATGAATATATTATCTTTTTAATCTAATGATGTTAATTTTTTGGGTTTGTTAAACGATATTTTAAACTAACATTTAAACTAGATCGTGTCAAACAATGCCAACAAACATAATGTTTTAAAAAAATTTAATGCAGTTAAGTTATAGGAAATATATTCATTTATTTTAAAGTTTGAGAATCAAAATACATTAAATTGACATAAAAAGACAAATTCTAATTTCGTATTTAATTTAAAAACTAAAAATCTATGTGTATTTTGTATTGATAAAAGTAAAATCGATAGTAAAATATGTATTAGAAAAAACAAGGTTTAATCCTTTTCGACATTCCTATTTATGTACGAATGTCTCAATTGGGTCCTCGTTTTCTAAAGTGTATCAAAATGGTCCTTAATTTTGAAAATTGATATCAATTGAGTCCTTTCCGTTAAGTTGGCTGGACGGCGTTAAAAAAATTGATGAGTGGATGCTGAGATGACGAACGAACGCTCGTCCACCAGCGAACGAACGCTCGTCCA